ATTTTTTTCACGGGCCACTTTGTGAGTTTAGTGAGTTATTACAGACACGGCTAACGGCTAACAGCTAACGGTTAGCCCAGCTAATCTACGATAACCATGTTATTAATTACACACAGAGAAAATACTAATGTTTGTTCAGTTATTGTGTTTATAGACTTTACAAACATCAGATTAGTCTAAACGGTGATATAGTGACGTGAATAATATGAGATATGCATATATATATGTAGCTAAACTCCAAGGTGATTCCCTCCGAAGGGACACTAACAACTCAAAGTACACATCAAATAAAATTTCTCCAAACACGTTTCTTGTTATTTTAGGTAGTTATTATCACACTAATGTATGTTCAAGTGTCCATTTCCCCCGATAAGTTGGTTTTAATTTGTTATTTGATTCTATAAACACAGTCTGACCATCTCGAGCTTTTATTTTGGTACTTCCGGTGACCGGCAGTGCGAATTTGCATATTAGCTAAATATTTAGTTTCACCCAGAACATTTAGATTTAACATTTAACATTTAGATTTAACATTTATATTTATATTTAGCATTTAGATTTAGATTTAATATTTAGATTTAACATTTAGATTAAGATTTAGATTTAGATTTAGCATTTAGATTTAGATTTAATATTTAGATTTAGATTTAGCATTTAGATTTAACATTTAGATTTAGATTTAGATTTAATATTTAGATTTAACATTTAACATTTAGGTGCCACATTTAATATTTAGATTTAACTATTTAATATATTTCTAAGTTAACAAATATTGCTGTAAATGTGGTAAAAGGTGACGTTAAAAAAATTCACAACACTTTTTTAAACATTGTTTGAAGCTAAATGTGGCAAAATGTTGATATTATTTTCAGCGTGAGCCACTTTACAAACGGCACCCCATATAGAATAAGGGACTGATATCTGTTAACTATCTGTCTGTTTGTGTCTTATCACAGAAGAAGTTGACTATTCAGGGAACAGTAAGGCTTGCCTGGGCCAAGTAAAATGCTGCATTGGGCTAATAATAAGAAGAATTAAACACATTGATACTTCTGGAGCTGATGATAGAATCTTGCTTCCTTCTAATCTTGAGAGTTGCACATGAACTAATTCGTCTTTGCTGTTATTTGATAACAGCTAATAAATAGAACAATAAAACAAGTTCAAAAAGCAAGTGGAAAAAAGAAAAAAAAACATTAACGTCGCACCCCGCTATTACTGCCTTTGAGTATCGTTGCTCTTACCATAAAAGGTGAGGTAGCCAAACAGCGCTGACAGCATGTACATGATGAGCATAGTCAAGATGGACAAGTTGGAGACGTTCTGCATCTTCTTCCGGGAGCGGCTGCAGAAACAATAAATGCAATCGTGAGACATTTCTCAACTTCAATAAATAAAAGACTATATGCATGGCTTGTAGTGAGAGAATGGGTTTTATTTAGTTGAACTGGCCCTTAAAGGTTGTTTGAAGGAGTGCTGATGGTACTTTCATGCTTGGTGTAAAGGAAGGACGCGCACTTACTCTTTCAGCTCACTGTAGATGGGCAGGACCTCAGGATGGCAGACAAAGGCGAAGGCAAGGATGGGCACAGTGTACGCTGTCTGGAGATGAAAAATGTACAGAAAAATTTAAGAAAAAAAAATTTAGCTTTAGGCAGTACAAGACAACGATGGTGCTAATATATATATAAACAGCTACAGCTGACGACAATGACTCATGACTTTGCTTGGACTTGAGCCCAATGTTGCAGAGCAATGCAACAGTAGTGTTGTAACCATAGTGTAACAAATTAGATTGTACAGTGAGTAATTAGATTGAGGAATGCATTACTTTTGTAATGAGTAACAATGGATAAGGGCGTTGCTTCCAAAACTGAGGGAAAAAAGGACTTAAGAACAGAGAAACCTTTGCTGAGCACTTAAGGGCCTCAACACAAGTTGAGAGCTGATGAGACGTGTTGGGACATTGTGGCCCGCAGCTTTGGCCCGCCATTTCTACTTTTATTCACAAGTACCACAGACTGACGATAATACGGAGCCAGCTGCAATTTTTTAGGAGAAATATTGTCCATTTGTTGTTCCAGGCACATAAAAAGACCATCAGAGTGGCATGGAAGTGGAAAGGTAGTTGGTAAATGCTGCTTTTTACAAAAGTGCAATGATAACAAAAAAAACATTTATGCTGCGCTTAATTCTTTGAACTGCAATTGGTATGTGATTAAAAGCCTAAAATAGCTCAAAAGCAGCAGGTAGTCATCGTGTCAAGGAAGGTGAAATGACTGCTTTCACTTCTAAACAATGTGAAAATAACAACCTTGGTTGAAGCAACTTAACTTAACCATCCCCATGTGAACACAAAGCTATGTGTCATTTTCTAGGCCTGATTTATAATCGCTTGGGCCCACACTCAAATCCCTAAACACGCACTGAAATGTCAAAACACACCCTAAAAAACCCCACCTTTACCAAACATGTCTTGGCAAATGCTTGGCAATCTGCTTCTGTTGGATTTGTAGGTTGCTAAATGCATTCCTGTGTGTTAGCCCAACTGTCTTAGATTGTTTTTAAATACCAATGTATGGTACTCACATGGATTATGCTTACTGTGTTGATTATCTCTTCTAATAACAGTTTACATTATACATGGGACACTTTGTCCTGGCTTCTTTTTTCTTGCCGTCACTGATTCAAATGGTACAATGCACCAGTGGAGGACCCATTGTGCCAGTGAGTAGATGACACACCTTAACAAAACCACTGGGGCTACATTTCAAAAGCCACACACTTTAAACTTTCGCTAAAAGAAACTTTGTTTCTGGAGACCTGCAGACTTAAAAAGAGCTTCTATTCATACATGACACTGAACTGGAGCAAGTTGGACAAATGTAAGCTACCAAAAACCCCATCATACCTGAGAGTTGAAGACAAAGTATTTGGGTGTGCACATCTCCTCATCGTCGGGGTGAGGCTCCACATGGACGCCAGTGGAGTGATGGGCGTCATGGCTGCCAAGCACTGCCGGGGAAACGTCGGCTCGGGAGAAATCCATTTGTGCTGAGCTATTCAGGGGTGGGTACAACCCCGGCATATGCGAGGCGTTCATGCTGAGGTTGGCTGAATTGTGGTAAAAGAATGGAAGAGGGCAGGACAGAATGGTCTTCTTGTAGATCACCTGGAAAAGAACAATATTAAGTCATGTTGTGTTTTTCCAAGTAGTGTTCATTGAAATAATGAAACAAGATTTTGACATTATGGCATTTATTTTCCAATAGACGTGGTACTTCTCCATTTTCTACATCGTGTAATTTTCTTAACCATGTTTCCATGTAACCATGTTTGTCACATCTTTCTACATAAGGTTCTCAGCCATATTGGAAGTCCTCGGCTCTCGGGAAGGACGATATCATCATAAGACACCTAATTAGCAAGTAAACAATCTGATTCCATGTTGACAAAACTACATTGACTGATTTTTTTTTACTTGGGGGTGCCAGAAATAAGCTGTTAACACAACACTGACAGTGATCGCTCTTGCATACACAGTCATGGGATCCATTCTTTACTTAGTTTGTCTTGCATGCCTCCCTGGTGAACAAAGAATCTAAAAAAACAGAGAAAATTCTTGATGAATTGAATTAATAGGATATCGCATTTCCATTAAACTTAACTGTTTAAAACACTTATGCATAAACTGTCTCAGGCATGGAAAAGTAGTGGGCCTGTGCTGATTATGCAGAGGGGTTTGAAATAGTAGGTCACAACAAAAATTCATGTGTTTGGGAAGTACTGAGCAACCACTGCATAAACGTTGTTGTAGAGTTGTATGAGAGTTTGTAAACAGATGTTTTGGTATAGTTTTGCTGTTGTGAAACATGGACCCCAATGACTTCAATTCATCAGGCATTTTCTCCGTTTTTTGGATTCTTTGTTCAGCGTGGAAGCATGTGAGAAAAACAAAGTTTTATTCTTGGATTTAACATTACACAGGGTGAATAACTGATATACAAACTGTCATTTTGTGAGTGAAGTATTCCTTTAAAATAAAAATATTGATTATAGCAGCTTTAGTATGTGTCATATGCAAATGCAGACAAATGCCTGATGTGCACTTAAAGTACATATAAAGATGCAGCTTTATTTGCCTGAATCCCACATTCTGCTCATGGTTTTTAAAAAGTTCTTACAGAGTTGAACTTACCACACCCAGGAAGAAGACCATGCAGGAAAGGGAAAAGCCGCTAGTGTAGCCCAGGTAGCCTAAAGAGAAGAAAACATCAGTAATAGAAAAAAAATTTCCCGACACTGCAGAGACAATAGTATCTGATACTTGTGCTATGCTATACTTTGCTATTCTTACTCTTTACCTCTGTTAATCTCTCCTGTCTTTTTAACATCATTTTGGTGTCTAATCTCAGAAATGGGTCACACTCTATTCTAGGTTGTGACCCACATCCTAAAATAAGAGAAATCTGATATGAGCAGCAGTTCAGATTCGAGCTGCAGTGTGAATGAAGCCTTTAAGGCCTGAATGGAGCAGAGACTAAACCTAACACCCATGAATACAAATCTAATGTCTGCAAACACCAAGATCATAATGGCTGTTGTCATTTATTCAATTGAATTCGGTCATGTAGCTTTGATCCTATTTGCTACTTTTTGTCTGACTGTATTAATTACATAATCTGTGCAGTGGGCTAATGGTGCAGACTTCTTGGAGCTGAGCCAGCTGAGGCGGATCTGACTCTTTAGTTCATAAATCACATCTGAGCGACAGTGCTGACTGCGGGCTTAATAGAAGTGTTACGTTACGGTAACTCCTAATTGCCGGAGCTGACTAAGGGCTCCACTAGTGTTACGTTACTCCCGGTTTTGCGTAGGTGGTTATGGACAGCTGCAAGAACTTGGAAGCACTGAGAAAAAAAATGGCTTCAGACTGCAGGAAGTGACATGGGTCCTGCTTCTTTGAAGTTAGTGGCAGTACTAGAAGTTTGTGAAGACTGAGTCCTTACCAAGATTTTTGAGGAGAGACAAAGGCAGAATTACTCCGATTGACACAAACACCACCAGGTAGTTCCCATTCAGGTACCATTCACTGCAAACACAGCAGGTTGAAATGAGGTCAGAGCCTATACTGTATCTATACACAAACACATAGTTATCTATTTAGAAACACACACACTCACCCAGAGATTTCCTCCAAACCCAGGAACGCGCGGATCACTTCAGGCAGCTCGTACTTCACGATAAAGAGGTAGCTGGACATAGCTGCAAGACATTACAGAGAAGCTTAGCTATTAGCTTAGCACATTTAGCAACTGTATTAAAATTCAGTAAACAGCTGTATTTTCAAAAATCAAGCTGAGATACACACACATGAAATCACCACCCACCTCCGATATTCTGCATAATAATGGATCCGAACGCTGCCATTTTCCCAGGCCAACCAAATGCTCTCTCTCCCAGCTTTTCATAGATAAGAGATCCTGCCACAACAGACAAGATGACATTGATTTAATCGTGGAAAAAAACTCTTCACTGGATAACTGGATAAAAGCATCAGGTGTTTTTCATATTGCCAATTTGTTCCTCTAAATTCACCTAAGTAAATTCCATCTAATGCACAATTGCTTTCAATGACCACAAGGGGGGTGCATCAGTACAGAAATACAGTTTTACCAATATTGTTCTAAAGCAGAGGTTTCCAACTTTTTTTTTGACTTGTGAGTCCCTAACGAAGCAATATCTCCTTGTGACCCTTGTCATAAGTTTAACAACTATGAGTTGTGAGCACTTCAGTCAAAACAAGAGGTAAAAGTATTCCACATTAACAGCTTTTCACAAAAAGAAGCAAAAACTGGAGAAAAGTGAACATGGTTTTGATTAATGTTCAGCTGATCAGCTCCCGAACCCTTTGATTAATGATTCCAGGTCGCCCCACAAGGGAATATGAATCCAAAGTTAGCTTTTCATACTAACCTCCTTCTTTAGCTGTCACAAGAAGCAGATGCACAGAATATAAGGAGAGGATGGCCACAGCCACGAGGAGGACTCTGCACAGAAAAGGAAAGCAAAGGTCATGGATCAGTCTAAAACTGAGATATGATACAAGTGTTTGCCTTGGTATTTCAAATACATTCAAATCTAAAGACTAAGGAAGTGAAACGTTGCGGAGGAAAGAAATAAGGGAAAAGTCAACAGTATGGAGAGGGTTTTTGTGCTGGTGGTATTATCAAGAAAATGTAACGTTTGTGATACCTCTACTGTTAGAAGAAGGCAGGAGTTCATTAGTATTTCCTATCTACTATCATTTTTCAGTAGCTACTCCACTGACACTGAGCTTCAGAGAAGTGCTCTCTTGTTCCCTGAAGCCTCCCCGGCTCATTAGGTGGCCACGCAGCAGAGGCATGGATAATACACAGAGGAGGGTGAGGGGTGTCAGATGTTGGAAGGCACCCATGAATGCTGATATGCATATGCACGGGACAGATGGTGCTGTTAGGTGAAATATGTCAGAGGAACTGAGGGTACAGGGTGCAGGAGTTTAAACATGTCAGTGAGGCAGAGCTGCTCTACAGTATGTTCCAGATGGTAATGTGACTATACAGTAATTTATATTTTTGCAAGAGGTCATTCTGTCCCACTGGTGAGCTAACACATAACCATGTATCCTAATGACTTGGGTGATCCCCTGGCATCTCCTGTAGCACCACCAGCAGAGTGACATTTGTGGTTTAGAGTGAAATGTCTCACCAACTTTAGTACACACACCCATGCCCCCGTCTGGATAGATTATGAACTGATTATGATTGCTATGACCAGGTTAAACTTACTTTGATTTATAAAACCTGCATAAATAATGGCGTTCTCATCAGCCTCAGCTGAGCTTTGGGTTTAGTGTTAATTTGCAAAGGTTAGCATGCTAATACTCTACACCAAAGACTGATTTATAGTTGTATGTTGGCTCTACACAGAGCCTATGCCATATCTACACCAGCAGCCTATGCTGTTGTAAGTATCTACACTCATGCGGTGGTGGTGTCTCTGCAATTACACCTCCAAACGATTGTTAGCCGTGGGGTTTCTATGTCACTGAGATGAGTTTCTGTGCAGTTAAGTTTTATTGATTCAACTATCCCTCTAAAGCCATAAAACACTGCTTTATAGTGACAATATTAGTAAAAGTATAGCGTGTTTGGCTCCATTATAACTCACAAGGTCCACAGACAAAACAATTTACAACACTATACAACATGCTAACGTTATTAAGATATGCCTATGACATTTACATTTATTATTAGCTAAGCTGCTAGCGGACCCTCCCTCTACTAATATAAAGCCAGAAGTAACAACGGCATTTACTAAAGCTAATGTTTCAAAAGTAATCTCCAGTGTAACTCACAAGGTTCCCGAACAAACAACTGTCCTATGCTTGACACATTTTTCCCACTGAAACAACATGCTAACATTATTAACATAAGCCTACAATATTTTACATTACGTAAATTAGCTTAGTTGCTCGAGACTCTTCCTCTACTTATGTGAAGCCAGGAACAACAGCAACATTAAATAGGGGTAACATTATAAAATTTGTCTCCATTATAATTCACAAGGTTCTCCTACAAAACAATTCTATGCATGACACATTTTCCCCAATAATACAACATGCTAACATTATTAGCATAAGCCTACTTTGTTTTACATTGCAGAAATTAGCCTAGTAGCAAGAGGACTTTTCCTCTACTTATCTTGACAATTTATTGTTTATATTTTTAAAGTCAAAGTCGATGTGTAGTCCTAGTAACATTTCTGGGTTGGTGCACATCATCAACATTGCCCTGGTTCACTTGACAAAAAGGAAGTGGGATTTTTTTCCATTGGGGTTTTATAGCTCTGTGGCAAACAAGTGTTTATGATACTGACATGTTTTGTTTGGCATGATAATCTCAACAAAGGGTTTTTATGATTATGAAAGCATAAATGCCAGAAGCAAGTGTTACTAGAATGTTAGGCTATAAACTAACTAAATCCGGTGGCATGACTTTAACTCTGCCATCACACTGAGGCTGAAAAGCCATGTTTGGCTTGATGACTTTCTGTAGTCTCATTTAGCCACTTTTTTTTAATACATGTAAAGAATTTAAAATTTATGAGTGTGGAATTTAGTGACATTTTTTATATCGTAAAACAAAACAAGAAAGTCTCTTAAACTTGTGTTAACGACAGACCTTATTTTAGGCATCTAACCAAAACCTCTAGCGAAAAACCCATTGACTTTAGGCGAGGGAACCAGGAGTGCTAACATGGTCATTTTCAGGATTTAGGACTCATTCCTGGAGCGCTTTAGCATTTAGCTCGACGCACCGTTGTTTCTAAATACTATCTCACAGAGCTGCTTGCATGGCTGTGGACTATTTTTTCTCTAAATGTGAACAAAAGTTAAGCAAACAGTCATATCTTGTTAACATTTAATACCTTTGATTTAAAAAACTATATTTTACAGTGAAATGTATGGTATATAATAAGACCATATGCTTAATACATGGTTACTAGAAGTGAAAAGGTTTTCATTCATCACACGTAGCCTGATGAGTACCAACCCTTCACACATGTTCCGTCCAGTAAGGTTTTACGTTCCTGTTACATATCATCGCTCTATAATTAAACTTGACATGAAGATGTATTAATTGGATGATGGCGGTGTAACTGAAACCTGTGTTAGTAAACTATGTCTGTAGGTTATTTCAGGGCTTCTATTCAGGATTGTGAGGAACCAGCATGGACAATGTTGAGGCATAGATACAACCTAGCTATGTTTTTGAATGCCAGTATACAGACAATGGAAAGTTTGGAGGAAGTTATATCAACATCTGCTCTTACTAAAAGAATGCTGTCAATTTCTGTGTTGTGCCACAGCAGTACTTACGTAAATAGCACGATGCCGGTGTTTGCCATGGCGAAAGACAGGCCCAGGATGCCACTGCCCATGATGGCGTTGCTCAAGTTGAAGACAGACATCCCAAAGGAGGTGTGGCCAGGATGCTGCTCAAAGAGAAAAGAAAGAAGAAAGACATTTGTATGAGGAAAACAGATCAACAGTGCTGAAAAGATCATTGACAGCAGCATAAAATCGTTAATGTAATTGCTACAACAAGAGAGAGAGCAAACATCTGGCCATGTGCAGCAAACCACACAAGACTTTAATACCAACAGTAAATACTTTGTAACCCACAAGTTGTAATTTAAGGAAAATCACCCCCTCACGTTCTCATACACTGTTAATCAGGAGCTGTTAAGTGCATTTCCAGTAGTTGTTAAGTTTTATTGACTGGACCCATTATCCCTCAACTTCTTTTTCAACTTATAACTGCCAGCATTTCCCAGAATGCCTTTTATCCTAGTGTACTCGAAACTAAATCCAAAGCGTTGTGTTTGTACTGGAAACGTCCATGTACAAAAAAAAGTGGAACACTTGCTACAGATTTATGTGATTGGCCTCAGAGTGCATATTTTTGGTTTCCTAACATACTGTAATAGGAGCTTCTAATAACCTTCATGGCTGCTCATACGGTGACTAACAAGCTCCATCACGTGGAGGGGCTGCCTGTTCAATAAACAGACTGTAAATAAACTACTTACATATTCTTCATGGTATTCCTCATATTTCTTCTTCTTCATTATTCCATTTGATAGGAACTTCTGGCTTTCTCCATCATCATTGTCATCCATAAACTGGCTGCAAGGACCAAAAAAATAAAACACAAATTAACATATGCATACACAATGGACAGTTCACTATATAATACTACCTTTATGTTGTATTTGGTGACTCGAAATGTAAAACTCCTGGCATCAATCTTAGCGTTGTGTTCAAGAGCAAAGAAAAGACATCAGTTTTGATCAGCTATCCTCTGTCAGTGCTGGTTAATTTATTCGGGATGCTTCATTTACTTAATGTGAAATTGAAAACTTGCCACTTCTCACCAGTCAATCAACACTGTTAGATCATTCTGAACACCCACTTTGAAGTCACACTGCGCTCAATTAATGAGATGCTGCCCTGCGGGTTTCTAACTCGATAAGTAATTAATTTATTCACTTAATCTAATGTCTGTCAGCTCCAAATACCCATTAGTGATAAATTAACATATATTAATGCTGGGGAACATGCTGTGCTTTCGGTCTGTCGTCAGAAATGATATTTACATGCACATGATTATCCAGGTTAGTGGGAGACGTCAGTTCAAGGCAGGTAATTGGAGAATGTGAGTACATGTGACGCAGTAACCTGGTTACAGAAAAACCCAGGTCAGTCATAAGATCTGTCTAGAAATTATCCTTCATGACTCTGCTCACAACAAGGTCAGTGGATTATTTTGAGTAACAGAGTCATTATTTCTGGAAAGGGACATTATTGTTGAGTTTTCAGATGTACTTTTAGTCGCTTTGAGCACTACAAGTCAAGTGCTATCTAGTTCCATGATACTGGGTTCTTGGATAGATGCCTGAAATTAGCTCTGTGATTAACATGGCAATAACAATCATTTACCATTCCTGTCTCCCAGACCTCACTGTTATCCCAATTTGCGTTCATTTTTTCCACCGCAGTTCTTCTTCTTTGACTTAGCTGTTAACTACTAACAGCTACTTTATAAACCTCCTGTGGTAGGCTGCACACTTAACATGTCATCATAACATCCCACCCTCCCCGTCTATGGACCCATCCTGCTGGCTGTCCAGTTTATATGGACAATGTTTTTTTTTTACTGTTACCTCCAATGCCAGCTTAAAGGCAAGACAACTGTGTCCCCCATTCCGCAGCTGTATCTTTCATACAAAAAGGTAAGGCAGAATAATGGTGTGAAATTCCTGCCTTGAATCACAGTCAGGAGGAGTCTCTAACACAGTGTCAATCACTACACTTGCACACGCTGTGCAGCCTTCCTCTCCTCGTGCATGCTTTCTCAGTAAGGCCATATATCTTCAGTATGGGCGCTTTGCAAACACAATAGCTGAAAACAGCAGTAATCAAAAAAGCAAGGCTATTTCCTCCTTTGCCAACAATAGACAAGTAAACAAAAGACCTACAGTAAAAAGGCAAGCCCAAAATAATTTGTTAAACTGAGCCCAAAATAAGACAAGAGTAAACACTGGAGCAACTTTTCTGAGGTGGAGAGAGCTATGGGACCTGAGACGATTAAAAACTGTGCACACATTGCTGTGTACACCGTTGTTGGCAAAGGAGGGACTGACAGGTTTTTCATTGCCAACATTTTCCAGAAAGCCTCATGTACTACTGTCAGGATATAGTGACTGAATTATGTTTTTATAAAAGTTACCTACTGAAGTTTAAAAGGTATGAATTTGGAGAATGTGAGTACAGGTGATTCACGAGCCTGGTCACAGAAAATTCCCAGGTCGGTAAAAAGATTTGTCTGGAAATTGGGCTCTTACTGCAGAAACCTTTCAAGATTAATCAGGGTTTTCTTCACCTCTCATCAAATTCACAGACAAATTCAAGAATGACCTAAAATGTTGAGAGGGCATACATTTACAGAACTATGCTACACACTAACAAAGCTGCAGTGTCAAATGACTGGTGAGGCTTTCTCATATGGGGAAGGAAATAGAAAACTTGGCATCATGGCTGCTGACCTGTCAATGGTGGCCTTCTCAGAGTCGATGGGTTCTGTGAAGCGGTCGTCCAGGCTGTCTGTGCTGTCATCATCACCCTCTGTGGAGACTTTCTTTAGCTCCATACGATCCATGGCTCCCGGCATTGTGGTGCAGAGCAGGGCGAGAGGCGGAGAAGTTGGGTTTTCAGTAAGTCAGGGTTTAGATTTCACAAGGTGGTGATGTGCTTCTTTCTCAACCTCTGCTCGACGTCTTAAAGAAGACCTGAAAAAAAAAAGACAGGAAACATTAGAGGAAGATAGACACTTGCTACTTGCCCACGTCTTAAGAATTCAAACCACACTCATGTTCACCACAGGAATGGCCATTTTCTGATTACAGGCTTGCAGACGCATGTATTGTCTGGCTTTATCTGCCTCAGCAGGGCCTTTTGGCCTTGGATGAAGAACACTTCAGAGTGAAATGGGGCCCTCTACCCTGCAAATCAGTCCATCTCGTTTCCTGGAACTGAGAGACTGTTTGTTATGTTACCTTGAAGAGGAAAGCTAGGACATGATGCAACCTTGGTGCCTCATACAGCTTTACCAAAACTAGCAAGGCTTGAGTCCTGTTGGCCTCAACGCTATATCCATTTCTACACCAGCTTGATTTGTGGTATGAACAACTTTATTGTTTAAAAAGTCTGCTAGTAAAATACAACATAAAGTCTCACTTGGGTAACTTCTGTCTTGGGGAAGACATTACAATGTTGACGTACATAGAGGTTGCTGGTGGGAGTTAAGTCAACAAACCTGAAACCAGGTCAAGGTGGCAATGAGTTCAAGAGGCCGTCTGACCGCCACCATCAACAGGTCGCTTGTTCGTGTACGGGCTGGTTTGCTCAGCCTCACCCACTACCCTTAATGAAAAAAAGGGGGGAACACACATTTTCCATCTGCAGTATTCATCATGAAGTTATGTAAGGAGACAGTGAACAAAGCCTGAATGATTATAAATGCTACTAACAGCCAAATTATTTACAGAGCTGTTTGCCACTCACACAAAGAGTTCTTTGATTGGGAGGAGGGAAAGATCCGAAGTTCTACTCACTGGCTCTTTTTGCACAGATATCGTACAACAGGGCCGCTACACAGTCCCTTTGTTAAGAAACCTTTGCTTTTTACACAGAACCAGATGACGGCGAGTGACAGTGAGTGATTTTTGACAGCATTCTTAAGTCCCTGAAGCAAAAGAGAGGTGTGACATGTAATAGAAAACAGTGTCAACATCTAGTATGCAGGTAACTTGTGTCAGTGGCGCTTCATAAACTGTGATAATGGCATAGCATGGCAATAACAACCATTTTTCATCCTTGTTATATGGCGGCTGATCTTGCCCTGTGCTCAGAGGGTAAGCAGCTTCCGGACCTCAATGTCTCCCCAATTTGTGGACTTTTTTGGCTACTGTCCTTCTTTGTGAATTAGCTGCTAACTGCCGATAGCTGCTTTTTAAATCTCCTGACAGCGAGTTGCACGATTAACACATCGTCAAAATGTCACACACATTCTGTTCAAGGTCCCATCCTGCCAGCTGTTCCTTCTACACAGAAGTCGATTTGGCGCTGTTACTACCGCTGCTGCCACCTTAAAAGCCAGACAACTCTGTTTCCCCATTTCATGATTGTACCTTTTATAAAAATGTTGAAGCAATAGCCACTTTTTCATTGCCTGTTCAAGGTGGGAATATCATACCGTCATGCTACCTCGCCATTCTGTATAAGGTACAACTGTGGAATAAGGGGGGCAGAGTTGTCTCGCCTCTAAGCTGGGAACAGAGGTAGTATCAGCCCCAAAACAAGGTCTGTGTAAAACATAAAGCCACAAAGACGTGATCAGGAAAGATATTTTGATTACATATTATGTTGGCTACCTCACCATGGAAGATATCAATAGCAGCTGTTTGCAATTAGTGGCTAACTCAAAGAAGAAGAACAGTGGCTGTAAATCTCTGCATATTGTGAAAACAATAAAATTTAGAGGCTCCTTACCCTCGAGCATAGGATCAGATCAGCTGCCATATAACAGGGACAGTAAATGATTGTGACTGACATGTTATGTCATGTGAGCGTGAATGGTTGTCTGTCTCTATGTGTCAGCCCTGCGATAGTCTGGCGACCTGTCCAGGGTGTACCCTGCCTCTCGCCCGATGTCAGCTGGGATAGGCTCCAGCCCCCCGCGACCCTCAGGAGGATGAAGCAGTTAGAAGATGAATGAATGAATGAATGAATGTTATGTCATAGTTCTTATTACTAGAGGCCGACGCTGTAGCGTTACATGTCACAGCCTTCATGCCTCTTTTGATTGCTATAGCCGAATGATGCCTGCCATGTCATTTGGTTCTGTGTAAAAATGCAAAGGAGGCATAAAGAAGGGATTTTGAAGCAGCCTTACAACGCAATCTCGGTGTACGAGGACTAATAATAGTGTGAAATTCCCGCCTTGAACAGCCAGTGTAAAAGGGGCTATTGACAAACAAACACGCATCATAGCGATAAGTAAACAACCATGACATCGTAGGTGTTACACAAGAAAGTATAGCTCTAAAATTCTCTTTGTTTAAAAGTATTTACAGCACCAACTGGGAAGTGTCACTTCCAGCACTGGGAATTTACTGAGACTATCTGGCAGCTAAATGCTTCTCTGTGTTTATGAGTTTATCCCTAATTTCGTCTGAAAATAGCTGACAGCTGTGGCCAAAAATAGGTAGGGCATTGAAAGTGAAGCAAACAGTAATGCGGATGGTTGAAAAAAAAAAAAAAAACAAAGAGCTGAAAGACACAAAAAAGAATAGTATATATTTTACTATATAATTTAGGGCTGCAACTACCAATTATTTTATTGTTGATTATTCTCTCAATAAATTGATTAGCTGTTTGGTCTATAAAATGGTGAAAACAGTTGATCAGTGTTTCCAAAAAACAATGTCCTGAAATGAACTCTAGCTGTGTCCACAACCAAAGATATTCAGCTTATGGTCATTGAGGAGTAAAATAACCAGAAAATATTCTTATCGAAGAAGCTAGGAGCAGAGATTGTTTTTTCATTAAAAATTATTTACGACAAATAATCAGTTACCTAATAAGTTGCCATTCAATTGACATGATTGGAGAGTAAAAAGTACAATATTCCCCTCAGAAATGTCATGACTGTAAAGTTCCATAAAGGGGAAATAGGAAAAATACAACCACCAGTGGATGTTAAACAACAGTTTGGACTGAAGGAAGTGTAGCAGCAGGCTTTTTGCATCAGAAAGTGTTTATAGTCAACATGCCACCATGCATGCACTGAAGCTTTCCATTTTCCAACAAGGTTACAGCTGAAAACAAAGTCAGAGGTGTTAAAACTCTCCACCTTGACCCCACCTATCTGATGACAAAACTTTTTTTTCTTCCAACAAAGTTTTCCTCATTGAGTGTCTGTTGTTTTCCCTGTGATCCTCCTCTTCGGAAGTAGGCTGCTTTAAAACCTCCAATATCTTTGAGCCAACAGAGATTAAGTGGCTATGTTACCGTTAACAACCACATCACACAGGCCAGTACACCTAATCTCTCACTGTCGCTCTCCGCTGTGTGGCGAGAGAGAATCGGAGAACAGTCTTCACTTTTCACTGCCAAGTGGATTAACCTGTCTTGGTTAACTTCACGCCTTCCTGAGTTTATCGCTGCTGTTGTTACAACCATAACACTATAGAAAGCACACGTTTGGCAGTGTGCGACAGGGGCCCGGCTCATACTCAGTATCACATTTGCGCGGCTGAAACTGACTGTGGTTCACACCTGTGATTCACACAATATGTTAATCACACCTGTGATTAACATATTGTGTGTAAAATGCTCCTTGATTGGCCACTTGTTGCTGGAACTTGTTCTCCTGCTTACAATTCATTGGATCCTCTCAAACAGAAGAAGACACACATTTGCACTTAGCCACACAGCCGTAAAGGAAGACTGCTGAGGGCGTTTGCATACTGGATAGAAAAACACAAAATGCTAACTACACAGCCAGAAACAAACAGCGCTGCAGAGACGAGAGTTTACATGTTAATGCTGTATGCACACAATTGCATCTCTAAGCGTGGCTGAAGCATTCAGATCCCATTGTGTCCTCTCGGTGTCCTGGGACGTCTTCACACTTGTGTTTACAGCTGTTCATTTTAATGCTAAGTGTGGGCCAGGCCACCACGGCCAACACATTAAGCTTCTGCAGGTCTTTCATGATTACACAAATTCACAATGTCTCTATTTGTCTCAAACTTTAAGTCTTAGACGATAATCAGCATTAAAAATAATTTCTCAAGTGTTTGCTGAGGGATTCTGTCACTGATTTTAAAGCAGAAGCCACCATGCAAATTCATGCACAGTGGCTTGTGAAAATAGAAAACAGGAAAACACATGCAAATCAACCAAACCTATCAGTCATCATGCTTCCTGTTGTTGGTTGTTTTACCACATGATCTAAAGCTTTAAAAGGACAGCAAGCAATAACTAGACTTTGTTCTGAGAGTCAACAAGAGTCAACAAGTTTAAGGCCAAAAGATTACACATATTCAGTTTGCATTGGAGATCAAGAACCTTGCAGGTATGTATAGAGCTTAATTTGATTTGCAGAATATTCAAACACCAAGCATTCATTGAAAGCAGAAAAGCTAAAAAAAAGATAATAAAAATACTCCCAGTCTCAAAACTTTTGCACAGTTTAAAATCAGTCTAACGCTGCATATGTTCACTCTGGAAACACTTCTACTATCTCATACATACTCCACCCAAACAAACTCTTGCATCAGCCACAACCTGAGAGCGAAATTCCTTCCAGCAATGCACACTGCACAGACTCTGCTCTACTTGGCATGTTACAGTTTAAGTTCCTTAAACATACCCTGCTGCAGCTAAAAGAGTCCAAACCCCAAAGCTTAAAGAATTTCCATTCTTGCCTTAACAGCAAGCATACTGCTATTTTTGGAAATTAAACAACGGAAAGCTGGAAGCCTTATTTTCATGCACACTGTGAACACAGTTTTCAAGCAAAGCAGGCATACTCACTTATGTTAAAAAAGTTCCTTTTAGAAGTTTCGGATTGTTCCTTTATTTTCTTGTAGAAGAAAGTATATTCTTTATAGAGAGGACAGACAAGTGAATGGGCGAGGAGCTGCAGCTCTTTTGTAATTCAGGTGAGGAAGCAGGCTTTTAAAAGAGTGGGGGGAGGGCCTGTGCCAACCAATGAGGACAGGGAGGGTTCACTTAGGCCCCTCCTCCTTTGAGTGCCATCATAACTCCACCAACACACACACACACACACACACACACTGCCCTTACAGCAATAAGCAAGAGGGCTAGTGTCAGAAATTCAATTTGGGACCCCCACAGTAATGTAAGAAATAAGTATTACAATTTTACAACTAAATTTGAAAAACCTGATTGAGAAATGATGATACAGAGGAGTCAATGCAAATAATGAAGAGAAATCAATCATAACATGGCCAGAACGTTCACCACCATCAGACTGACAGACGAGCGGCCGAGGTCATGGAGAGCTGTTGGCTGACCATGGGTGGACTGAACAGTTCTGTCAATCAGATTCCGCCAACTGATTCTGTCGTCATTGTACTGTCTCTTCTTTGCTCACAAACACACACAAATGTTTGCACATGTAGCTGCACACTCAGATGCCCACGAGTACTGTAGGCAACTGTCAGAGGTTTTGGGGTAGGTTGTGCCGCTGGCTGACCAATCAGGGGACAGCGTTGGGGATGTCGCTGTGCCCAAGGTCGTGTTCGTGTCAGGGATGAGGTTTTTTATCTCTGTCCACTTTGTAACGCTGTCCAAAAAGAGGAAGGTACACACATGCGGCATGTGATGAACAA